TATGATATGATATGATATGATATGATATGATATGATATGATATGATACGATACTCTGGACTGAGTGTCTCTGGTACCTATGTGCTATATAGTACAGTCTAGAGAACCACTGACTTATGTGGATTTTCTGAATACATTTTTGGAGACGGAATATGTTGCTTTAGGGATTTCACTTTGTCCAAATACATGAAAGTTCGTAGAATGTCCAGTAATCTTTACAGGTTTGGATTTATTTTTGTGGTGAAGAAAGCGAATGATTTCATGTTGCACAATCAGACAGAGAATGTTCATGTTCTGGTTCAATATCTAAGAGAAAGGTTTTGTTATTTCTATTGTTTACATTACCATTAATACTTCCATCAACACTTAAATGAACATTTATTTAACACTGAATTCCTGTCTTTCATTGAGAGGAACAAGAAAAAGATATACTTAATTAAAAGGAGGATGGACTGACATGAAAATGGTGGGCCCTCAGTTGTGTGGAGGGATATGAATTGCACTCATTAAAATAGAATGCTGATAAGGACAGGCTATAAATCTGCAGATGGGTTGCCCCTAAGATCTGCAATAGGTTTTAGAAAGGATTTAGCATTTAAAGCAAACAACTGACAATAAAGGCAGTGACTGTATTGTTTTTCACAGTGTATAGGAGGAGGACACGTTTCTTCAGAAAGCTAAAGACAAAAGTGATCTTCTTCACTGCAAATATATGCCTAGACTTTGAAATACCTGCATTTCAACCATTTTCAGGCAAAGTAAGTATCATTAAACAGATAATATAGTTTGATTATAACATGAATACGGCAAGAAAGTAAAGGACAGAAACGACTGCTGAAATATGACATTTTAAAAGGGGTAACTTTCAGAAATAGTGCTTGTTGTATTTGAAAACTGAGTAGTTTAAGTTCATTTTGCATGAAACAAAGGCTTGAAATGAAAGCTTATAGCACATCTCCTTATCAGGCACTCTTTTCTCTCCTACAGAATTGTAGGAGAGCTGTAAAAACAAAGCCTCTTTCAGAAGTACTTCCTAAAGGTGCAAGCGATGTAATGACCCTCAACCAGACAAACTCACATTTTAATGTAGGCTGAGGGTACAATGTAGAATTATATCATAAGTCAACAGAGACTTAACCAAGATGAAAAGGAGAACAAGCCTCTCTGCCTGTACACATCACAGAGTTGTAGAGCTGATACTGCAGATAGACAAGCACAGAACTAAGAAAAAACAAAAAAGGGAAGAATTGAAAGTAGAGCAAAAGAGGTCATAATACAAAGGAATGTGGGAGCCAGATGAGCAATTTGATGAGTGGCAGAGAAGGAAGGCAAGCACTGAAGAGGGAGGGTGAATCCAATTAGCATGCTGGTTTTGACAAAACATTCCAGCATCCCAAAGAATATGTTTCTCTCTAAGAAGTCTTTTTTTGCACAGCCTCACAACTGAAGAAGAAAGTGACAAGGAAAATAAAATATGATTCAGTAAAAGGAGAAAAAAGAACAGGAAACACTAGATAAAATAAAACTGCAATTATATGTGCTGCACTCAGTTTAAAATATTTTTAAAATAATCAATAGAAACAATAGTTACTTTTATGGCCTCCATAACTACTAATCATATAACTTAAAGAATCCTAGTAACGATGCCAATAGTAATTGCAGTAGCATTACAGACCCGAAAAATGGAGGGGATATTTTTCTGTTGTAATGCAAAGTGACACTTACCATTTCTGTTGAACAGAATAAATTCCTTTGGAGATTATTGGTTCCTTTGAGTTGATTATTATACAATCATAATCATTTTACAAATACTAAATATCAAAGCGTATTATTAAAGAAAATCACCCCCTTCTATAAAACTACTGAAGATATAGTCCTGAATGGATAAAGTTCCATCGTGGATGACTTTAAATTTTTAATTATGTAAATACATGATAATTTTTTATGCAAAGAATGTTTTCTTTTACTCTAAAATTGGCAGTAATATTACTGTGACTTTTAAAAAATTATCCCAAACAGTTATTTGGATAAATAATTGCTGCTTTGAAATATGTGCAAACACAAGAGTTGCACAGTAGAAGAAGGAGCCAATTACTGCTCCTCAGAACATCCAAAAAAAGCTGCAAAATCATTACTTTTTTGGGTCTTTATGGTTACCCCTGCTGACAATGTGGCCAGTGTAAATACATCTGCTCATTTGGTGCTCAGTTTAACCCTTCTGTCTAAAACAGTTTGGAAATGTATTATTGGTTCATGATGAATGAAGAATGAAAATTTCTTGCTACAGTTCTAAGAATTAAGGTGATCCAAAGTTCATGTTCAAATTTCATGGTTGAATTTTAATCTATGGAGAACACCAAAAAAGTAGCTAAATAAAAAGAAAAGAGCCCTTCAAAAAATTTGCACAGCTACTTAAGTAAACTCACACAATCAGTTCAATTTTCTTATTATTAATTTGTTCAGTTAGTTTGCAATCCAGTAAGAAATAACAAAATGGTACTGAAGTATACTGGAGCAGAAAAACTACACCAGAAACAAAAGTTTCTCTGTAATCAAACACCATGTTGGGCTAAGGAGCATGTTAACCATTACTCCTGCCCCCTAGTATGGTAATATAAGGGGGATTACCTATGGCAGGAAAAGGTGATGCAAATATCCTGACAAAAAGACTGAGATTAGCATTCTACTTGGGCTCCAGTACTTCTGTTCAGGAGTAAAGCAGACCTGCTTCCTGTTCTGCAAATATGTTCCTTGTCCAACAGTACATCTGGATGTTATTCAACAGCCCTACTATCAAGCACATTTCTCCATTCTATATAAAGTCTCAGAACAAAGATTACTCACTGCTGTAAGTTGATATACAGTAAAAGAGAAACTCACAAAGTTGATAAAGAGCTAAATTGGGAGTTTCATCCTTTTGAGGAAAAGATTACGTGGAAATCTGCGCACATAAAAACTGTTCTAATTTACTCACGTATTAGTTTCCACAGAGGTATTTGGAACACATCAATAAAATTTGTTATAGGATTTTCTTATAAAGTCAGCAGTGATAAAGGGTTTTAAATGTATGATGAGCAATGTAGGTCAGCAGAAATTCTCTTTTCCACTTGAATAAATGTGACCTAAATGTAAAGGAGCTGAGCAATACTTCCATTTTGCCTATCTGAATACATGCATTCTTTTGGATTCTTGGAAGGAAGAGAAAGAAATGACATAACATCTGGACTTTTTCAGAGTAAAACTCAACTGCTATCACCAAAGAGCTAGTCAAAATATTATAATTGTAAGCTTTCCCAATCTAGGAACAACTTGTCCTGAAAAGTCTACATACAAACTGCAGGAAAATACAGAAATCATACTTGAAAATTACAGCCATTTTTTTTATTATTATTTCTTGTAAGAGACATCTTTAGCAGAGAAAGCATAGCTCAGTGAGCAGAACTCAAGTAGACTGCAAACACAGCTAAATACTTTCATGCCCTGCCTTGCAATTTTACGTCTGTAGGCTATTCACAGACCAATCTTTTAACAATGGCTTGTGAAAGTTGTGGGTTGCCCAATTCGGATCACAGCTTCATCTGTCTTCCAGTCTGCCTTCCACATAGTCACAACAACATGGGTCATCAACTACGGCTTCTTTATTTAGCACTACTACTACAGAGCCAATTATTCTTTTCATTTTCTTAAGAAATGTGTTCACATCCATGTTCTGCTGTTTTCCTTTCTCTCCTCTGCACAGAAAGTGGGGAGGCAACCCTAGAAGCCAAACAGATGCACAGGAAATGGCATTTGGGTGTTCAGGCTAGTTCACAAACTTCTCAGTAACTTGGGTATTACATTTTGGAACAACTAATGCAGGGCATCATACACTCTTCATGTGGCTGCCTCTCACCAGAATTTGGGATTGTATTGCTTTTCTCCTGCTATAGAAGGCTTTATCATTTTCTCTAAGAAGAATGTTTCTAATCTCTACAAATGCATTTCATGTTTCTTAAAGAAATATATACTTTAAATTTAGCTAATTAAAGAAAGAGACATATATAAAACACTTGCAGTGGGTAAAAGATTTCCACTCTACTCAATAGCACAGAGAGATTGTACCTGACAATTATAAAATGTGTGATTTGAAAAAAAAGTTATTTAATCAAATAATAAAAAATACTCATTGTTGTTCTATTTTCATTTGCATATTTCCTTGAGAAAAACACTACTATTTCTCTACAGTGCCTCAAATTTCTCTGAACTTAAAAATGCATCCCATCTTGTCAACATGCACTCATTCGTCCAGTTTTCCCCAAGTGTATTTCAATGCAAAGCACAACTTTCCCTGCAGTGCTGAGCGTGGCAAAAAGTACATCCATTAACCTGGTGGCTAAGAATATTTGTAATTTCTTTTGTTTCTGTTGACAGCTTCTTATCAGTTTTTCTGTCTGAGATTCTTTGCAAAGTACTCTTTGTTCTTTTCAGTTTTGATCCCTCCTTTAAATTCTAGTATTATTGCTTTTCTGACAGCTAATCTCAATTTCCCTTTAAGTGCAAGGATACATCCATTTGCTGTCAGAGAATTCTCCTCCACAGCTCGTTACACCTTCCCATTTAGCATCTTCTAATACACCAAAATCTGAATTATATTATTTTAACCATTGCCTTCATCTACACTTTTCATTACTTGTTTTACAGCCAATGTGGGTTTTTGGCTAACTCTCTGATCCAGCAGCTCAGTTTGCACTGACTGTGTGCTTAAGGTGTAGTCTGCAAACCAAAGAGAGGAAGAAACATCCTTACATATACTGGTAGCACTCACCAAGTAGTCCAGCAAGTAAATACAGTCAGACAGAACCGAATTTTCACACTGCAGACATATTCCTTACCCTGCAAAACATTGCAGGTGTCACAGGAGAGGCAAAAAAAAAAAGTTGTAAAAAACAGAAGCATGAGAATATGATTCAAATTTCTTGAATTCCAGTTCACTTTTCTAGCTACCAGCAAGCATTTCTTCTACCTTTTTACCTCTAATAAAGTATTCAAGAGCGCTCCTGTGCAGAGTCCCAAGATATTACTTAGAAACTGTATCTGTTCATATTTTGGTCTGAAAGTAGAATGTTGTTGAAGGGATTAGACAACAACACCTGTCACTTCCATTCATTGTGACACAGTACTATGTTATAAATATTTTTTTAGTAGCACATCAGGCCATTTGCTGACTCTCGTTTGTCTGTGAGTTGTCTGTGAGTCTCTCTGTTAAAATCACAGCACTGAGATAAGCATAAAGTGCTTTTACCATCTGGAACTGCAACAGGAAGATTACACTAGCATAACTTGTCCTACTGTAGATTTTAGGCTATAGGCTGATTTCTTTAAAACAAATAATGTCTATCTTTCATCAATCGTTTTATATCCTTCTACTTCTAACAGCGCAGAAATAAAAATTGCTACCAACACTTAGTTGATATTTGATATCTTTTTTGATATATGCATTTATGCTAAAGTCATGTTGTCCCATCTTTGTAGCCAAAATAATAAGTGATTGATCACAGACTTTCAGGTAATTTTTTTGGCCAATGATATACAAAGACAGCAATGCCAGTGGCTAATTTAGCAAAAACGTTTGCTTATTTTTAATGTTTCCATTTAATAATCACTTCTCTGTTTTAAAGACATTTCTGTTATCTTGTATTTCAAGCAGTTATTTAGTTACATAACTGTTAACGCAAGAATAAGTGTGTAATAGTAACATTAACAAATACTTTGAGTTGAATTTTCCATAGTAACTTCCATCTATTACCTTGTGTGCTTATGTTCTCTAGTTTTTGCATTCTTAACATCCTCTTACTATTATTTTATCTACCAACAACAAGTAAATAAAAAGAGAAAAATTATAATCATTTCTATATTCAGGCAATCAAAACTGTGGTAGGAAAGCTGAACACACACACACACACATATCTTTTAAATAAACAACATCTCTCATAACATACTCAGTATGTCAAGTTAAAATGAACTATTTTGCTGAAAACCAGATTAAGACAATGGCTTCTGTTATTGCTGACATGATATCTTATGGCAGCTCTAGGTTCTTAAAAGAGTAGAGAATATTTCCTCTTATCAGTCTTCAGCAGAACTAAAGTGCTACACTGTAGGGGACATGCCACACTTTCTCCTTTTTTTTCTCTGAGAAACAGGAGGGTAAAAAGACAAGCAGAAATGGTTCAGTAAGCGTGAAGAGTCATGGACAAGGCTTCTGAGAACTCTCAGATGCTTTGGTATCCAAGAAATGGCTAACGAGGTTTAATCCCACATGAGGATCCCAGACTTCAGAATCACAACTGTTTTTAGGTCCTGGTCAAAAGCAAACTTCGGCAAATGAGTAACAAGGCCAGGCTGGATGGGATGCTGAGCAACCTCATCTAGTATGAGGTGTCCCTTCCCATGGCAGGGGGTTTGAAACTGGATGATCTTTAAGGTCCCTTCCAATCAAAACCATTCTAGGCTTCTATGATTCTAACTTCAATGGTATTACTCTAAAGCTAAGAAGATGCATAAAACACTGAAAGACCAAGGCTTCTACTGTAAAGGAAGAACTGTTTCAGCATATGCTTATATGGTGGAACTCCCATTGTACTTTCTTGGGTGTTCCCTCTACAAAAATTGCTATAACCTTTCTAATATTTAATCAGCTAACACTCAATTCATTCATTTAAGGAATGAAAAAGATTCACCTGCTTGCTAAAAGAAAGTATAAATCTACATATCCTGAGATGTAGAAAAACTTGAAAGAATTTTTAAGTGATTTTCTCCAATGGTATGAAAATTTCTAAATAGCATACCTTCCTTATTAGTCCTATGTGGTCATTAACAAGAGAGAAATGAAAGAAAAACAAAACAAGAATGTAAGAAAGAGAGGGAAAAAATAAAAGAAGGATGGTCCTGGTTGAATATGGGGTGCTCATTTTTAAGTCCACAAAACAATTGAAAGGGAAAAGAAATTAACAGAAAGAAGAAGCAAAGACAGGAAAATCAACAGCCTTTCTGTATTTATTTTCTGATTTTGCAAATGAAAGTCTTTCCACTAGTGTCATCTAATTTTTGCACTGCATTAAAAAAAATAAAAAAAAAAGCAGATGGAAAATATCTGAAGAAAATATGGGAAAGTTACCAGTACCATGGGACAAGCAGTTTCTGAAAATGCATGATAATCCCGCAAACAGTTTAAAAAAAAATTTTCCTTAGTACTTAGCTCACTGTATTAGATCTTTCCTTGGAAATATCTGGCAGTTCCTACAGACTCTGTAGGAAGATAAGAAAACTTGAATGACATTTATATGCTTTCCTGTTCTCAGTTGAGAGTTATTTTGTACTTGCATTTGAGAAATGTTACTATGATGGCCTATTACATTATTATTAATCTAATGATCATAGAATAAAATGACAGAAGTCTTACCTACTTTTATGTATGTTCAAAACTGTTTACTAATCCCTGATTATCACAGCTCTAACAGAACAGCTTAAACACTCTGTCTTTACTTCATGGATCTTCATGAATAAATTACACTTGAAGGTCTTACTTTGCATCCTTCTAAGTCAGGTATAAAGTTTTTATTTATTGCAGTGGTATGCTTTGTGAACACCTCTATGATAACCAGAGCATAAGACATTTATTTTTCAGAGGTACTTAAGTGACTTTTGTGCCTCAGTGAAAATGTAATTTTCAAATAACTTTAAAGAGTAGGGGAAACAGATTCCTGAACAACTTGAAGCTCTTGGAGTTCATTGCTTAAACCAGGATTGTTCTCAGAAGCAAACATCTGGAAAAGCAAAAAAAGCTTTAACTTTCAGAAAGTTGTATTAATGGTCAGCACCATTGATTTGCCATGCATTATGACACCACCCATTTCCAGGGACTATACTGAAAACTAATTTCTGCCTTTCATAGTACATTAATTATGGGAGTACATTTTATAATTCCTTTGGTATAAAAGGTTCTCCTCTTCAAATGTACTAGTGAACTAAATGGAGTTGACATTCCAATACATGGTGTATTTCTTTAATGGCAAATTTCCATCAGAGCATTTATGGCAATACAGCATAAAGGGGGAAAAAAGTTAGTTATAGTATGACATACATTTCTGACTCTAGCCTTCTTTATTTCCACCAAGGTACACTTGAACAGCCTGTTCTTCATTGTAATAAATTGTCCAAATTCACAAGACTGGATCTATTGTATCTGAATTGTTACTTACACATCTGAAAAATGATGGGGATAACAATAGGTTGATTTTAATGGTATAATCAAGATCTGCAACACAAAAAGAACATTGTTTCATACAGTTTTGAATTGCATAGTTCATATACAGCCAAATCTTCTTCAGTCAAAAGGATGATGGCTTTGTAGAGGGGCAAACAGATGAGTTCAGAATTGAAGAGGTATTGAACACCACTTTCAATCAGGCAATGACAAGGGCAATATAGCCTGCAAACTTTCTATTACAAACTTCCCATTCTTTCTTAGACAGTTTTCAGAAAAATTAATATCTCATCATTAAGGGTGTGCTTCATAGTGGGTGCACCATCAGGAGGGAAGTATGTTTCCAATTTGGAGTATGACAGGCACAGTGACAGACACAGCTGCATGTCATTGGTAAGGGAAGGCAAAAGTAACAATGTCCAAATAAAGAACATCCCTTAGGTGAAGCGAAAATGCAAAATTTTACATTAATATTGTAAATTACTTCTGTCAGGAAGTTTGGTTCAAAAAAAGAACCTTAACAGGTTGGGTTTATACCTGCTTTCAATAAATTGATAAAAAAATTATTTGAAAAGAATACAGGCCAGGAAAATTTTCAGTTAAAATGTTTTCACATTTTACAATTTGATGCTAACAAAATAAAATCGTATTTTCTCAACAGAAATAGAGTGTTCTGTTTATGGTATGACACAGGGATTAATTCTTTAACCCTGCATATTTTTAAAAATACTTCTTCAACAAAGGTTTTTGAAAGGGCCTATTGTTTTGAGAAGCATCTCTGGCACAAATTACCACAGAAAAAGAGCTTGTCAAAACAGAAAAGATGGGCATTTTCAAAAATATCCATACATTTGGTAAACAGCCAAATGTTGAATTTCACAGAAAACTATCGATATTATTTTGCTTTTTGTTTAGTTCCAAAACTAAATTTGAGTGAGAATAAAGCAGAAAAATATTAGCACATTTTTCATTTCCCTCTTTAGAAATTGAGGAGGAAGAAGAACCAATTTTCCCTGCCACTTTCAGAAGCTGTACACATTTTTGCATAATACCATTCATTATCTCCCAGACTGGTGGTCAAATTTTCAAAATATTTAATAGAAATCTTATAAATATTTATTGCATACAAAGCATAATGTTTACAGACAAAATTCAAAATATTTAGTTGGAGACCTTCTAAGTTCTATCTATTTCTGAAAGAGAACTTGTGAGCATATTTTGGTTTTTATGTTACCCAATTAAAAGTGTAGAGGGAAAAAAAAACAACTATGATGTAATCTTAAATAATCTCATTTTAATATTAATGGGCCTTATACATGTGTCCTTCTTTGACATAATGTAAAAAATAAAACCTCTAATAATCTAATACAAATACTGAAGGCAAACAGTGGGAAATGCCTGATTATGTATTGTATAGTGCATGTATGAATGATAGTGCTATCTTAGAAAAGAGGAAAACCTATGTAATTTCTCACAGGTAGTATTACTTCTCTGTCCTCACTGATATTCAACATTGCTGCAACTCAGATTTGAAGTTAGGTATATGTTTAAGTAATGTATTGAATGGCTTTCATACTATATACTTGTTTGACTTCACTTGTACTTTTCTTTATCTCGTGGCAGACAGAAGGAGACAGAGAAACCAAGAGATTACAAAACTTATCGTGTTTGCCCACACCTTGTTTTGAAGAAGAATTTGTAAAGAGCTTTTAAAGATTAAGGTGTCATTAAACTTCTATAAGTTCAAACACTATGGGTTGTAAACAATAGATTGTTTACAACCAGAGGTATTTTTGTAAAAAGACAATCAGGATGTCATTACAAAACATGAGATAACTTTAATACAGATTAGACGCTCTTTCAGTATAAAATTACTCCTGCTTGTTTCTTGTAGTCATCTCACTTCTCTGTGTGGATATGGTAAAGCCAGTCACACACTAATTTAATCTGTAAAGAGATTTCAACATAGCTTAAAGTATAATCCTACAGAAAGATCCAAATTTCAGATCTGTATAGCTATGTTACCTTGGCGTTTTGCCTGGGTTTCTCAGCAATATAAGCAGCCCAGGAGAAATGCTGCTACACTGTTGCTGCTACACTGTTACTGTCACTCAAATTACTCATTCTTATTAGTGCCCAAATAACCCTGTAGGAACTTCAGAAATGTACTCCCAACATAAAGTAGCAATAACACACTAGATGTCTGTTTAATACCACCACGTTTGAATGACTGGTGCAAGGGCATGTAGGAAACAAAAATGCTATACAGTGCCATTTGCTCTTTTGCTTTGTGGTGTTGTTTGTCTGTTCTCAGAGTCTGTTCTCAAAAATACTGAGAAATTGCTGTTTTCACTCTATGAATGGTCACAGGTCTATCCATGTGCTGTATTTCACAGATGCAACATATGGTATGCTACACATGGTATGCAACACAGGAAACCCTACCTGCAGCTTTGCCAGAGCATACTCATTAGGACGAGAGAAATACACTTCCGATTTAGCCTTAATGTTCACTGTGGGTTTTTTAAAGCAATACCCTTCATATATTACCCACATGGGGATGAGAGGAATAAATCTGCATTTTTTGTTTCAAGGTTCAGTTCAGCTCAGCCTAAACTGCATGAAGAACAGTTTTGAGGTATTCCTCACCTAGAGCATGTGCTAAATCTGTAAACTGCAATGATGGGATTTCAAGAAATGCAGGTCTGCAGCAGAGTCCCCAAATAAATGCTGAGAATTACACATAGGTGTAAAGCTTTTATCACTGCAGTCAGGGGAGGCAGATGTGTTTTCAGACAAAGCAAAAAATTTCTAACCTACATTGAAAAAAAATAAAGACAAAATAAATAAAATCAGGGTTTATTCTTGAAACAAGAGCCCTCAGGGAACTTATCACAGTGTTTCCAATCTTTTCTCCTTCTTCATAGCACAAAAATATAAAAGAAGAACAAATTATGTTCTTAAGCTAGTGAACCAACAAAATGAGAAGACATGAGGAAAGAGCATTGAAAAATTAGTTTGGCAGCAAGCTAACTCCTTCAGAGCTCTCCTTTGTGCTGCACTGAGTCTAGAGAGAAAACTCATTGTTTTGCTGTGAGATTTTATTCTGTGTACACTAGTATTTTATGCATATTTGGGAGGTCCCCAGGGGGAAGCTTTCTGCCAATTCAGAAAGCATTTCTAATTAATTAAAAAGCTTGTGTTTCTACATTCTTATTGAATTTTTGGTGGCATTTTCATGCTAAAGCTTCTTGAATGATATTTAAAATCCATTAATCAGAAGAAACTTTGATGAAGATTTTCAACATAAGACTTCCAAGTTTAGGCACTGTTGTCTCCCTTTAGACAGTCAAACAGCTAGTTTAATTTTAAAAAATACTGAGCATCAAGAAGTTTCATATTAATTCCTAAGAACTGCCTTTCTAAAGTCCTTTGTAACCCTGCAACCTGTTGTTCATGGTAGCAGATGCTGAGGAAAGTGAAGCACACTACAAGCATACAGGTATATCCTTCTGAGTGCCCTCGAGGTAACCAGAAGCCACAGCTCAAGGTACTTCAGGAAGCAAATTCCCATGTATGACTGGAAAAGTGAAGATCCTGTTTTACTGAGTCTCAGAGGGATGAGAGAACGGAACATTTTTGGGGAAGACTGTATCAACCATGTCTTCATTTGCATCTCCTCTAACATCATATATGCATTCTTTTTTTTTTTCAACTTTCTCAAAGATTTAGTTTTCATTTATAAGCATTGTACCAAATCTTTTCTTCTCATTTACTTAACTCATTGACAGATACATCTTTTTTAACCACCTCCATAGCAATTCAGCCCTGCCTAACCTATAAAACAGCATAAGCAATGAAAGTCCCTTCAAATTATGGCAGTGAAAGTTACATTACATAAAATAACACCAATGATGTATTGTCCAGAGATCTAGCCATAAGTACATTTTGACATAAATAATGAAACTACCTAAGCGATAACTAATACTAAAGCAATTCTTAAAGAAAAGAATGAACAGGGTTTTTACATTACCAAAATGAGGGAGTACATCCATGTTTGAGAGAAAATGGCAACCTGTGCTGTTTGCAATTATCTAAGAAGAAAGAATACTCCAAGCCAGAAGAATTATGAGACAGAACTGATGGACAAGGAGAGATGATTCGTACTTCATGTTTCCACTCACGTAACTTCAAAAACAGTTTATGTTGCAGGAAAAATATAATAAAAGAGAAATGTAGTAGGTTGGTTTTCAGTCTATGGTTTCATTAGGAACTTTATCTTTCATACCCCTTCAGCGCCTTCTTCAAAATGGTCTGGTAACTTCAATGGAAAAGAGGATATAGAATGCTAAAACTAAAAATACTTGCAGCTTTCTGGAGCTGTTCCCTGACTACACACACTTTGATTTACTGGAATGAAAACATGAACTATAACATTTTATCATAAGCAACAATGTGTGTCCAGAATTGTGTCTTGAAAAAAATTCATAAATTCATGGGTATTTTTACAACACTGCAAAATTTAAAATACAATTTATAATTAAGGCTGATGAGTGCTGAATCTGTATTAGTGAATGTAAGGAGGGATTACTTCAGATATACAACTGTGGCACATGTGTAAGGCCTAGTTCAGGAAAAGCCCACTGGATTAATTTCAGTAAACTGTCTTTTGTCCTAACAAATTTGTTTTCTAAAAGAACATACCTAAATGAATACCACAGAAGATTTTTCAGCCATTGAAAAATAAGTCCAGTTTCAGAGTGGAGCATGATACCATCATATCAAGACAGTAGTAAGAAGTTCAAACAAGCAAAGCTTGTTTTGTTTCTCACACCAGCATCCATCCAAATGAGCACTGTACGCTCATTTCTGTCCTGAAGTTGTGAGCTCTCAGCATACTTTTTCTTATCCTAGCCCAGATAAGCAATCATGGGAAATGTTTTCCCTTTTTTAAGAAACAAGTTTGATCACTAGCCTAGAGACCTATGCTTGTCACTTGATCAAAAAGTCTGGGTGGCTGGTTTTATTATTTTAAACACCTGAATTGGTCTTCTCAGTTTAATTACAGTTTCATGAAAGCATACTACAATAAAGATGCTGGAAGAGCTCAGTTGATGTCCATAGTAAAAATTTTAGTTTAATTTTATTTCATAGATTAAAGAATTTTATCTAACTGTTAACACAGCTCATTCAAAACCTAGAATTCCAGTTATGAAAGTGACATCCTATTGCCCTGTTATAATGGTAATAATATTTCATGCTTCTTGATGCCACTTTCATGAAACACCCTGTGTCCAAACATCCTAATGTCTTCCTGAAGGGTCATGCAGTGATATGCCTGCAAATTCATAGTTGCAGATTTTCATACGAGATTAAATCAACTGAGGGTAACTTCTTCCAAAGAGAGTAAGAATATTCACAACTAACACCATTTTTTATGAGACATCTGGATGGTATTTCAGAATAAAATGTACTTCATCCAGTAAGATTTTCTTTATCTGGGAACCTATGGATTACTAATATATACAATACAAACTTTAAAAAGTGAATTTTTATACAGAGAACAACTGTTTTTGGAAACCAACTACTCCCAATGTACCTAACCTAGAGTTACATCTGACTATAGGAAACATGCTAGTATGGTGATCAAAGCTGGAGACCTGAAATGTGAACTACTTTCATTCAAGTTACAATCATTTAAATAGATCAGCCTTCACAGAATAAAGTGATCAAAATTCTACACATTTATTTTGAATCAAAACCAAGACATGCCACTACAAATGTTTCACACAAATTTCTTAGATTTTTTTTTTTGCAAATGAAGTAGATTTGTTGAAATCAAGTTTTTATCATTAGCTGTTTTTCAAAAACTAGATTGTTTAATAATTTTGGTTTTATTTAAAAATTCCACCACTGAAAAATTCTTCATTGCTCTATAGCTAGGGACACACATGCGTGATTCTTTTGTGACTTTTAAGCTAACAGAATCTGGCAACATAAAACAAGTAAGTTGTCTATGCTTCTAGTTCTGTATTATTCTATTATATTTCAGCTTTATCTGAAGTCCAGAGGATTTCAGCCAGGATGGAAGACAGACTAGCTTAGCTGCTTTTTTTCTCTTCAATTAAACCCACTTATCCAGAAGTCTTAAAATGCATTGCAAAACTAATTGCAACTTATACATAATGTAAGTCAGGCAGGTATTGGTCTCTCAATTAAAAATTAAGGAAGTTGAGAGGAGATATCCTAAGAGACTTTCTAAAGGTCACATGCAGTCAGAAACTTCAAGTAGATTTTCTCCCAAGCACAGAAAAATAGACAATACACACACATACGTATGTTTTCAGAATATCTTACGTGTGTATTTCTTTTATTTCCAGAACGAGTCCATGTTTGCAGATGTAATGTTAAAGATAAATAATCAGTTTTCAGGCTGATGAACAAACTGGGTTTGAATACTGAACTCATTAAGGACTCAGGAGTAGCATACAAACCACCCTACCAAGGCAGTCTGACACTAAAGTTCACAGGCTGATGCATTGCATAGCATGATCCACATGTATTGATGCTGACATAGGAAGAACATTATGCTTAAAACACTACCTCCCACACAACTAATTAATCTTTAACTTTCCATTATTTATTTCTGACAGCTTTGGAGGAAGGTACCATGAGAAGTTCATAAGTATTTTACTTGCCTTTTACAAACAAGCAAATAACAAAGATAACATCTTAAATGCAGGACATAGCAGAAGGTAGTGTTAATTATTGATTAATATAAAAGCACATTATTAAGAGACAAGGTATGATTGAGGTCATACATTAAAATGATTAATTACTGTTTTCCAGAAAACATTACTGTGCCTGTAAAATTATGTTCATCTAAGAATTAATTAATCTAAAAGCTTTAAGGAAACATAAAAGCACAATAATCAGGAAATTGGGTTAGCAGTTTACTTAATTTACAAAAAAGAATATTTGTATAATTGATTAGTCTGAGAGCAACTACAGAGTTGGCAAAGCCTTCAAACAAGAATCGACTTAAGAATGGCACATTAGTAATTGCTTTTTGTTCATCTTTCCAGCACACTTATTTGCAAAATAATAGCCAAAATTGCCATTCTATTTTTTGGTATATGAAGGAAACAATACTATGCATGTGCAAAAACGTGTGCTCTGAACACACCACACTATCAGCCACGCTCCCTGTGACAGATGCTAAGAGAGCACTTCAACCACATCAACTAAACAGACTTGCATTCCACCTTGGTGTAGAGGCCGTGTAAAAAAGACCTCACACGATGTTCTCTATCAAACTTTTTTTATGTTTCAGAAATCATCTGTTTGTGATCTTCAGAGGTACCATGTGAGGGATTTTGGTGGTGTTTCTTTCTTCTAGAAGTTGCATTCATGACCAGATATCACCAGAATGAACACCTGTGAGGAACAACCCTGATAAATCATCTGCAACTGAATTTGCAACAGCACTTGTCTTCTACATGTGGGACACCAGAAAGAAAATTTACCTGTAAGTCTGCAGAAAATACTTTGTAGGCCACATCTGGCCTATGGTATCTCAGATACAAATTTACCCAGCAATACAAGGCTTGGAGCAGCATGTGAGAATGAACATTAAAGGGACTTCTGCCATACTTAGCATTATCTCTGGCCATGGCAGTGTAATGTTGCAACTCCATGTAGCCTGACCACAGCTGCACATCATCCTTTCTATCCTACTGAAGAGGAAAAAAATGAAGTTCTGACCTGCTAAACAGTCTTTGAACAGCAGTTTGTTAACCACACAACAAATTCAATCTCGATACTCAGCACCCAAGGCTGAGATGTTGTTTCAGGGAGTCCTTGTATCTTCTCTTTGGGGCTCCTCTCATGCGGCAGCCGGTGGAAAGTTCACCATAAAGCAGGATCTTAGGGAGGGGGTGGTCCTTCATCCTTGAGACGTGCCCTGCCCAACGCAGCTGTGTTCTCAGCAACATGGCCTCAATACTTGTGACTGCTGCTTGTTCTAGAACAGATGTATTAGTCACATAATCTGACCGGTGAATGTTTAGGATTGTACAGAGACAGCCTTGATGGAAGTGTTCTAGGAGACGCAGGTGGTGGAGGGCTCTACCCACATTTGTTGCAAGTGCATTGGTGGCTAAAAAGGCCGATACAAGATAGACATGTCCGGTTGCAAAAGGCACAGCAGAAAGACTCCTTAGGTGGTATATTCTGCAAGGCACGATTCTTTCTGCATTGTCTTTTCTCCTCAAGGGTGATCCTGTGTGCTTTCTCAAAAGCATCAGCAGCGTTGAAGATAAGTGTGTCTCCAGACCTCCCGATTGGAGGCCAGAGTAGACCAGTTATGTTGATCAATATTGCCAAGGCCATGATGATGATACTCAGCACCCATCCAGCCACTAACCCTACTCTCTCCCCATACAACAGAATATCTTTCATCCAGACTTTGTGAACCTGTTATCTTGGTTCCTCCATCTTATATAATCCCTTACATTTTTTAAAATAAGTGTGGAGCATCACTTCCCTGATGTATGCATAAGGTTAGTATGCTGTAAATCACTAAAACGGAAAGCAAAGTAAAGATAAACCATCCCCAGGTCTCTCTATATTCTTATAATAGGCAGCCAAATTTATGTCAATGACAATGCTGTGAAAGCTAACAGGATTTTCAACAGGATTTTCCTTTGCAAAATCAGCACAGAATTATTGTCATATATTACTCTGGACATAAGCAATTTATAATTGAGAGTGTTTTGCAACAGTGACTGCTGCTCAATAAATGTTTATTTCACCTTCGTGTACCATAGAAAGAGCAAGATCACAAGATACAGTGAATAATTGAGAAAATAAAATAATGTAATTCAAGATATGTGTTGTTTGTTTGAGATTGCTTCTATGACAGAGCACTAAATATACTACAGCAGAAAATCTGGAATATCTAAAGCACCGAAGGCAGAGTTGTTCATGGAGTATAGAGTATATAGTTTATGAATACTAAGTCCATTTATACCAGCAAACTTTGTAACTGAAAATGACAAAGGACTTATATAAAAAGTGATGTGACCTCTGACCAGCAACATTACTATTTAAGAACTTGCTGAATCAGTTAA